TGGTTAGGTGGGCAGTGGTATTTCCAACTCACCAGGGTTCAAATCTTGGTGCTCGCATTATTTCTGGATTTATTTCAGGATTTCCGGCGATGCGCTTTCAGTGGAAGGAGACGTTCCCGTGGCTCAGTCTTTTGTAGGTGCTCATAGGGGTATGGTGTGCGTGTGTGCGTTCATAGGGATGAGTGTATGCGCGTGTATATGAGCGCTTGTGTCTGTACTGATGCTAAAAAAAAAGCCATACAAGATGAAAATTAGTGATTGCGAAATTAATTGGGATAACTGTACTACTTGTGGGCTTGAAGTATTCCTTAGCACTTGCTCCAATTTTTTTTCTTTCGCTTTAATATTTGATGAAATGAACAGTAAGCGGTGAGCAAATTTCGGTGCACTTTTTTTTCCTCAAACAGTATGTCCATATAGTCATTTTTGTCGCCAATGTTGGTGCTATCAAATTTTGTGAGGGACGAAAACATGACTAGGCAGCACAAGCCTTTGTTACCGAGATTGTTGCAGTGAGGCACGTACACTCATATCCTCCTCAAATGTTCGGAGGGATAATCCTATCATTGCCCAGACAGAAGAGAGTAGAAAAAAAAAATCATCCAACCGGAGCCCTCACTTTGTCCTCATATGTTCAGGTTGTCCGCAAATCCCCACACCGAGGCCATATATAGGATGATATGGGGATTTTCGAGGGACCTCCGAGTCGGCGCTCATAGCGCCCACGAACGGAACCAGCGCTCAAGCACACCCTTATGTGGGCCGGTCCAATGACGGGAGCAACATCATTCGTTCGAGCAGTAAAAATTTGTGGTTCGATCGGTCGCTCGGTCAAATTGGTCGACTAGTCCACCCTTGACTGGTTGACCGTTAACGAGGGCTCATTGATCGTTGACTCCTCAGAAACAAGGTCACAAAATTCAAAACAAATCATGGGAATAAAAAGATCAAAGACCACAGTTCATGCAATTAAAAAATACAATTAGAAAAATAAATTTAAAAAAAGGTGAATTTGAAAAAATCACAAATTTTAAAACAGTTATTTAACATTTGAAAAAACTTCACCAACAAAAGTGCACGGATTTAAAAATTTCCTTAAATTTTGAAAGAGATAATGAATTTTATAAAAAATCACTAAACCATTAGCAACTGAGAACAATTCATGAAAATTTGAAAAAAACATTAATAAAAGTTTGCGGATTTAAAAATGTATGTGAACATTTAGAAAAGTTAATGAATATGAAAGAATTTCACTAAAAAAATTTCATGAAAAATTGAAAAATCGAGAACTTGAAAGAAGTTCACTAAAAATAGTTGGCAAAACTGGAAAAGTTCTAGAAAGTTTGAAGAAAGTTAGCAAAAACTGACAAAATTTCATGGATTTTAAAAGAGTTAATAAAATTTGAAAAAAAAGTTTGCGAAGTTGGAAAAAAGTTCACAAAATCTAGGAATGTTCACAAATTTGGAAAGTATTTGGATTTTAAAGAAATTCATGCATTTGAATAAAAAAGGTAAAAATAAAAGGAAAAGAAAATGGAAAAACCAAATACTCCCTCCATTCCTAAATATTTGTTCTTTTAGAGATTTAAAATAGACTACTACATGCGGATGTATATAGACATATTTTAGAGTGTAAATTCACTCATTTTGCTTCGTATGTAGTCACTTGTTGAAATCTCTAGAAAGACAAATATTTAGGAACGGAGGGAGTAGAACATAACAAATACTGTTCAGGAAAAAACTAGAAACAAATAGATAAAAACATTCTAGAAGGTTCCCGAAGCTTCCCAAGACTGCCCCGGAAGTTCTTGAAGGTTCCCGAAAATGGTGAAGAATTCACGTTATTGCGCTCTTAAATGGGCCAACCCAGTTCATGTGATGTCACTTGGAGGGGGTGTGCGCCATTTTTGTGATTAAACCAATAATTGGCACTAAGGGCGTCAAATAGGGATCAAGATATTCGGACGTGTCCAGACAGTCCTCCGTGTAGAATGCGGCCCGTTCCATACCACGTATTCTATTGTTTCTCTCTGCACATCCCCAGCATTCACATGCATGTGACAATTTGAGGACAAAGTACATGACATGATTGCATGGGCTTAAAATGGACACGTCCGGGCATTGTCCGGATGGGTCCATAGATGATTAAGGGGCCAAATTTGCCCACTATGGTTGTAGATGCCCTAAAACCTAGACATATGCAGAGTGAGGACAACTTTAATAAAATGTATTTTAAACATATTTTAAATATCCAAAAGAAAATCTGAAACAAGATTTCACGTGTACATCTCTTCAAAAGCATACACACGGCATTAAGTTTTGCAAAAAAAAATTTTTTTGCCTCCACAAGAAAGAAAATTCAGTGTTGAAAATTAGCGTTTCACAAGATTTTTTGATACTTTTTGCACGGGCCAAAAAAAGTGGTTTTTCCGTCAAACTTTGTGCGCATATATATAACATGGAGATGTGCGTGTGAAACTTTTTTTGAAAAGTATGGCATTTAAAAATATGTTTTCCGAAGTGGGTGTAGTCGTGAAAATGTACCCGGATTCATCCAGCCATTTTTCGCAACAGGCAAACCATTTAAACCCGATCCACGCATCACCGACTCACCACTGGCAAGGGATGGCACGCGCTAAGTTTGGGTACGAGTGGAGCCACACATACCATTACCTGTTCCTCCCTGAGCTTATGCATCACCCATACCCATACCTGCCAATGGGTACAAATTTTTTCATACCCGCCACTCGACGGGTTAAAGGGGTACCAATAGGCAAAATATCCACATCTGCTATACATCAACATGAGCATCACATATTCACAAAAAAACAATATATAATCATAATTTATAAATAACAATGCATCATAACAACATTGCATACTTATAAAGAGCAACATATCATAAAAAGATACCACATTCTCATAACAACATCATTTACTCGTAAAAAACAACATATATTTATCCATTTGGAGTTAAAGAACTTAAAATAAAGTTTGACATATTTTTGTCTCATGTCCTTATCTTAATAGGATGTTTAACCGTCGGATACACGGGTAATAGGTATCCACTGCCATCCCTTCTCGCGCTGGCTCTGCGTGCCCATGCCGTGGCATGCGACCTATATGAATCGGTCCATTGACGGACTTTACTATGTTTTCTAAACCATTTTGTCTTCTTTTTTTCTTTCTTGTTTTTTTTTCAGTTTTACCTATTTTTCATATTTTTATCTTCGGGTATTTATCTTACAATTCTTTTGATATGTTTTTGCAGTTTGGGAACATATTCTTAGAATCCCTTAACATTTTTGTAATAGTGAGATATTTCTAATCCCAACGTTAGTTGAAATTCAAGGACAATTTTAGAATTCATGAATATTTTCTAAAACACATGACTATTTTAAAAATTCGAAAAGATTTTGTAAATTCATCGTCGATTTTTATATTCATAGTTTTTTTAGTTCCTGGTCATATTTTGAAATCTGAGAATATTTCTTGGATTCGTAATTTTGAACTCAGGATTTGTTTTTGTAAAATTGGCAACATTCTTTCATTTTATGTTTTTTTATTAAATTAATGGACAGTGTTTTACAGCTTTAGGAAGTATTTTAACAAGAAATTTGGAACATTTTCTAAATCATGATCATTTTTAAGTTCATGTTTCTTTAATAAACTGACATTTTTGAATTCCTGACCATTTTTTAAATCCGATAAGATTTTTGTATTCCAAATATTTTTAAACTCGGTAACACTTTTTAAATTTGATAACATTTTTAAGATTTCGTGTGTTTTAATTCATAAACAATTTTTAGAATCTTAGAAATTATTTTAATAAGAAATCTTCCTGAAAAAAAAAGGCGACTGAAAAACCCATCAAAAAAAGCATATAGAATACTTATGTCTGCTAGCCTCGTTGATGTGAGAAGCCATACTGAATTAGGGTTTACATCCATGCTTGCAGGAATGTTGGGCCATTGTTGGTGCTAGAGTAGTAGGTTGCTTGCTTAGTTGGTTCCTTGGGGTATAGAGGTATGCCTTGAGAAGTATTAATAATGTGTGTTTACTTTCTTACAGAGAAGTAGTAAAGTAAACACACAATGGCATTTGATCGGTCTGATACATTGCTTCTGATCAGACTACAGATTGCAAGTGTTTCCCTTTGTGTGTTTACTTTCTTACAATTAATAATGTGTAGGTTATGATCACCTGGGAGATAAAGGAAGAAAGGTTAATGAAGAATGTGGTTAAAAGCATGATAGTTTAGTACTCCCTCCGTTCCTAAATATTTGTCTGTATGTGGTAGTCATTTGAAATCCCTAAAAAGACAAATATTTAGGAACGGAGAGAGTAGTACTCTAATGTGATGAATCTATACAGTGTAGGTCATATTGCACAATTTTTCTTTATCTTCAGTACAACATAGCAGAAAAGGTGCCCCCGGTACATATTTTCTGCCACGTGACATGGATCATAGAAAAGCTGCCTATGTTCATCTGTTGCGCATCTGACTGAAGGAATTTCTGCATTTTTGTTACTTGCACTTCCCTGGACCCTATTGTATTTTCTTGCTCCTGTTGCAATTGCTGTTTGATAGTTGTACTGTATGTGTTATACGGTGAACATAACAGCACAATCAGTTACCACTGCAAATCAGCAAACGATTGTCCGCGGGCGCGGCATGCCTCCTGCACTAGTCTTTGAAGAAAAGGTGGGTTGCGAATACGCCCAGGTGGAGATCAGAATTCTCATGATCGTCTTACCAACGGAGCAAGCTAAAAAAAAAAATCGATCAAAGGGGAGCACCCCCGGCTCCATTTTCATAGAAAACGAAACCAAACACGCATACAGGTCTTCTGGCAACGACACCAGGTTTCAAACAGTGATAAAGTATGGCAACAGCTGCCACTAGCAAAGATATTCTACCCCCTACTAGTAGTCTACTGGAGTATCAAAGATAAAAGATAGGATAAAACTAGATCTCATCTAGAACTGGGTAAATCAGCTCATTGGGAAGAAGACCACATGAATTTCTTCCGCCAGCCTTGGGTTCTCCTTTCCTTGCTCCAGGGTAGCACGCCCTCCATGTGACAGCCCGTGGATGTTTTTGGACCAGGAAAGCGGAGCAAGCTAAATGCCACAGACATCTCCCGTTGGCACAACAAAAGCCTAGTGGGAAAATCAAAGCATATGAATTATGCCACCATTATCATTTTATCATCATCGTCGTTATGGTACAGGTGAATATGTGAGGTAATAACCAATACAAAGTGGCCATCATCGGGCCAGGTAACAACTGTTCTTTTATTATCCAGATGAGATGCGACGGTTTATCTAGCTGCCTGTGGATAAGTTCTTTTTCAGCACACAACAACAACTATCAAGAGATGGCGTCCTCACTTGAGCTTGTGGATGGTTTCCATGTCCACCGCCTCCGCGAGCGTGCCTTTCTCCAAGTGCTCCCACCAGCCCATGAGGAAGTTGTCCACCACCAGCCTGAACCAGGGGGACAGCTTCACGCCGCCCTCGCCGGTGTCCGCCTGCTGGATGAGCTCCCGCAGTTGCTCCCGGCTCACGTACTTCACGTCAGCCACTTCGTCCGGGTTCGGGACCAGCTTCACGTCGCGCACGATGAACAGCAGGTAGTCCACTGAGGACACGAGAAAACACACAAGTTAGCAACTCTTGCATTTCGGGCTACAGCGACAATGTTCAGATCACGAATCACTGTTAGAATGTACTCCCTCTGACATAAATGTAAGAACAGAGGGAGTAGCAGATACATAAGCGATGCACGACACCCCGATGACGACTTACGCTCATGTTCGCCCCATTTCCCATCAGATGGTGCCTTGTAAAGCATCCGACCGAGAGGGGTGAACTGGTCAACAGGCACATCTTCAGCCGGGATGCCCAGCTCATCGAGGAGCTTCCTCTGAGCAGCATTTCTGACACCTAGAGAATTACAAGTTGCTAATCGTAAGTGAAACCCAGTAAAAAATGGAAGCAACATTGACTATATATCCTAGTAACCGTGGCACATACCAAGAAAGTTTTCCTGAATAAGCTCAGATTCACGGTACAGAGGATGGCTGCAGCAGGTGTTGGTCCATACTAAAGGAAACGTAACCTTCGTTGCAGATCTTTGCTGCAAGAATACAAAAATAATACGACAATGAATAAATGCATAATGGAAAGCAAGTTCAACCAAAAGACCGATCACAAAAGATATTTCAAAAACTGACTGAAAAATAGATAGAAGATAAGATGAGGTAAAGGGAGGATGCTAAACAGATTTTGATCCGTACTATGTACAATCATAAGTGCTTCATAGGTCGTACCAACTCCAGTTACGCGAAGGAAATTGTGATATCATGCTAAGCAGCATGACTAGGTTAAGTTATGGCTAGGCAGAGATGGATACATGTTTCAGTCTCTTCATGCTATTAATGTGAAGCAATATAAGTCAGATATTTTGACTATCATACAAGTCAAGCTGACAAAACTATAGCAGCTACTGATCATGTATGAAAGTGGAGCGCAAATACACTTCATCCATGTTTTGTTTTATTTCCAACTAACCATATTTTTTCGTCTAACTTTTGCCATGTTAAAATCAGATGTCAAGAGCTTTGTTAGCTCGGAAGCTTCTACCGAAGACACTTAAAGCGGACCATGGTAGGTTGGATCTTAAATCAAGGACCAGACAGTAAACTGACACCACTCAGTTTTTCTACTCAGCAGGTAGCAATTCTGTTTATGACTATAATATTATAATTAATTATATATAATCTACAGCCTACAGGGAGTTACAGAAACTAATGCAACTTCAGAGCTAAACATCATATTCATACCAAGAGAGAATTAACATCCAAATGTTTCAAAACGGTGTGCCTACGTGACCTAAACACTATCCACCGAAACAACGTTAGCTAGTTCTATGACGACTCAAGGCAAGAACGTAACTTTCAGGTGGAGACATTCTGTTATTATCTATCAGAGCTACTTGGTACTTCAGAAAAAGAAGTGTTCAGCCCAATCACTGAAAGCCTACAACCTTTGACAGATAGAATACGACACGACAAAAAGGAAAAAAACAGTAAGTTCCAAATGAAAGACTTCTCCAAACCTGAAGTAGCAGCTCATGTTTTGAGTTGAAAAGGAATACGCTGAAAGCCCTGTGGAGCAGGTTCAGAGACTCAATCTTCTCCATCAGATGGCCTACACACCGTACAATGACAAGTCATATTTTGCCAAGTGATCCTAATCAACATCAACAACAGAGAATTTGACAATATATTCAAATGACAGAAACGAACTTACAGGTATATTTTGATTCATGGCCAACAACGTTGTCCTGTTCATCTACCAAAATGCATCTGTGAAATATAAGCCAAGCACAGCAAACAAAAATATTAGTGAATGCCTATCTCCAGATGGCATAGATTAAGAGGAAGTCATGTTTACAGTTAAGCAATTCAAGTAATTAAAGGACTACACATGTACATATAACCAATGGCAAGCAACTAGACTTGAGGCTTATCATGCTTACATGGAACAACTACAGTCAAACTTGTCACGTTGCAGACAAAATCTGAACAAATTTGTCATGTAAGGAGTACTTGAAGGAAAAGGCTCATTTTTAGAACCACGGATGTTACTTTATCTTCTGAATTCCAGCATAAATGACTGCAGCCTTTGTGCTAACTTCACCCAAGCGCTCTACCCTCAGGAAGAAAAAAAATATTCACCCAAGTGCTTAAAAATAAAAACTTGCAAATTCGGTCCTTCATATAATTATCAGTTTCATATAATACAATATGAAAGGGGGAATATGAGCTCCTTATTGAAAAAAAAGAGTGAGGCTTTTATAAGCATGGGTATACCTACACCTGTTAACTCTTTGGATATTTATGGCGCACAAAAAAAATCCAATTTTTTTCCTGAACATGTGGTACTGAATCGATGGTTCACATATAAAATTTTAGGGCCACATTCTTGAGCGTTTGGAGAAACAAAAAGAGTGAAGTTCGAGAAAAGAAAAATTGCGGCACATGTTCTTTTTATGTGTCCCACATACCATTGATTTTCATTCCGATTATTGGTGTGTAACATTGTATACTGCAGCCACGATTTTTTGAGATTTATAGTATAGAAATACTCCCTCCGTTCCAAAATAGATGACCTCTAAGTCATCTATTTTGGAACGGAGGGAGTACAACACAACCTCACTAATTCGTAAGGAAATTTATCTTTGATGCACGCTCGCCTTCACGCAATCTCCGGCTTCCAGTTAAATTTGTACTGCTCGTAATCTGAGCGTTTTTGTATGGCCTCCAGGCTATGGAACTTGTAAACCACCACCTCAGATCACGTTTAGCACATTTATAACATGGACGATTTTTGCAAAGAACTAGGTGCCTGCTTGTCGTCTAAAACAAACAGGCAGTCCTAAGAGGGGTCAAACCTCTGCTTTGATAGTACTCCCTCCGTTCCAAAATACTTGACCCCCACTTGTCTACATATGGATGTATCTATACTTGTTTAGTGTCTAAATACATCCATCTCTAGACAAATGAAAGTCATCTAATTTGGAACGGAGGGAGTAGTACACTAGCTGTTTCTTCCTGTTACGATGCTATGATATATACTCCCTCCGTCCCATAATATAACGTTTTCTGCCACTAGTACGGAGGGAGTACTTTGTAGCCAAACGCAGAGGCTGCACTAGAGTGCCCTCGTCGCATGGCAATGGCATGTCCGGATTTTCTGGGGCAGCGGTCTCCCGCACCGTATATATAGGACGAGATCGATGCCTCGTACCTCCCCGACACACAAGCCAACCGCACCCTCCCGTGATGATCCAAGTCATCACACCAAGACGGCAAGACGAGTACAGGACCCAATGTTCAGAATTCAAATCCCGCACCCTCCCGTCCTGATCCCCGACGAGATCCAACGAAGCAGCCAAACAATAGAGACCGAAAGCTCAAACCCCATACGTGAAACCAGGCCGACAAATCCAGATGCGCGCATCTCGGCACAACCCGGCGAGATATTCGAACTTAAAAAGCAACGAGAGTCGGAGGAGAGAGAGAGAGAGAGAGAGAGAGAAAAGGCAGGACAGGGATAGGATGCGGGCGCTCACTCATCGTCGAACATGAGGCGCCTCTGGACCTCGTCCATCCCGGCGTCGTCGCCCGTGCCGGCCATGTCTCGCGGCGGAGGAGTCCGGGCGGGCGGCGACCCGAGAGGTCTGCGGCCGTGCGCAGTGTGTATGCGCTGCGCAGGGGTGGGGCGAGGACAGGTGAGGACTGAGGCGGGGGGCTGATAAATAACGGGGAGGGGGGCCGGCGGCGCGGCGTTGTGGGCCCGGTGTGTCAGCGAATATATCCACGCGAGCAAGCGGGGATTCCCTGCGGTCCGAACTGCTGCGAGGCTCCGGCGCTCGCGAGGGGGGCGTTTACGTATCCGCTTCGGTCGCTGAGCGATGGGCCCCGGGCTGCGTTTCCTATGTATGGGTCTTTTTTTTTTGCGGGGTACCTATGTATGGGTCTGTTCTTTGACTGCTCTGGGTCAGAAACGTGGTGTCGAGTTGGACTTGGATCGGATCGGTTTAAATCGAGAGGCGAGACATGCCATACGAGGGACCATACCAAATAAGTTCAAAAATTACCTCAAAAAAAAAGGCAGCTTTTTAAAAATGACATTATTTTATGGTAATCGTACTGCGTGCACGTTCAGGGCAAAGTCTTGCCACGCGACGGGCTTGCAGCTTGCAGCCTGCAGCCATGGCCCTTGAGGGCATGCGATGGGTGCATGCGATGATGATGTGATGTAAGGGCATGTACAATGGTATTATTTTAAAAATAAACTAATATTTTCTTTGGTAAGTCAACAAAATCTTACCAAATAAGTGCTTAATAGTAATATGACAGTTAGATCATGATGATTACATACAAAAATCTCTAAGATTTTAATGATGATTACAGGCAGTCACATAGACTAATATATTAGAATGATTATACTCTGTTGCAAAGCACAAACATTTATCCAATATAAGATGAAACAAGCGTGTGGACATATGTCTTCTCTTGTTTGTAGGAATATATTCTTCCGGGGTAAAATTCATGTTTTCTTTAGTTGCCATGTTTTCTTGTTTGCCTGGAATTGAATGGCGGAAAAATGACCATCTAACATCTTTGTTGGACCGCGCGGGAGGCATGGTGAGCAATATTCAAATTATTCAAATTAAAAAAGAACATCTTTGTTTGATAGTCAGACTATTGTTGGCACACAAATTGCATCTCCTCCGTTTCAATGGGAAAAAAGGATTATCCCTAACTTTGTGTTGGCATAGCAATATGTAGCGTACAACCACACATACATGCGATTATCCCTAACAAACATATATGAAATCAAAACCCACACACAACGAAGGCCACTATTTTTTATCACTCATGAGATCGATTTTTCCAAGGATGGTTGAGTGTCAGTCTTTCGCTAGTCTTTATGTCACGAGTCATCAATTGTGCTTGTCCATTTACTCCACCTCACTTGCCTCACGATGAGTTGTCGGGTAGTGCCGCCTCCGCGGCACATCATCCCTGCTCGCAGTGTCACGTTACCTCCACTAGCACCCCTACCCCCACCCCCTCACGCGTGCCCTCACCTCTCTGTCATCACACTAACCCCAACATTTGGTGACGAACAACTCTCCTTCATCCCCATATCTATTTTTGATGTCTTTGAATATGTAGGCCTAGGTTTTTGTTTGCAAGAAATATCTTTATGTCACGAGTCATCTCTCATGGTTGTCCCTTTCATCCACCTCACTTGCCTCACATG